TAGCTGATGCACTATCACGCAGGTATGTTCTCGTGTCGACCCTTAGTTCTAAATTCTTAGGTTTTGAGCATGTTAAGGAGCTGTACGTGAATGATCATGATTTTGCTACTATATTTGCTGCATGTCAAAAAGGAACTTTTGAAAAATTCTACAAGCATGATGATTATTTGTTTAGGGAAAACAAACTTTGCATGCCTAATTGTTCACTTCGTGAATTACTTGTGAGAATCATATGGAGATGGTTTTATGTGACATTTTGGTGTTTCTAAAACATTAGATATTTTAAAAGAACATTTCTTTTGGCCGCGTATGAAGCGAGATGTTGAGAGGATTTGTTCGAAGTGTCTAACATGTAGGCGAGCTAAATCTAGGGTTAAACCACATGGATTACATATGCCATTATCTGTTCCTACTCACCCTTGGACCGATGTATCTATGGATTTTGTTTTAGGGTTGCCGAGGTCTAGTAAAGGTCGAGATGCTATTTTTGTTGTGGTAGATCGTTTTTCTAAAATGGCACACTTCATTCCATGTCATAAAACTGGTGATGCTACGCATGTAGCAAATTTATTCTTCAGCGAAGTAGTGCGATTGCATGGGGTACCTCGTACTATTGTTAGTGATAGGGATGTTAAATTCCTTAGTCATTTTTGGTGTGTTTTGTGGGGTAAGTTAGGTACGACTTTACTCTTTTCTACTACTTGTCATCCACAGACCGATGGTCAAATCGAGGTAGTTAATCGAACTTTAGGTATGTTATTGCGAGCTGTTCTTAAAAGAAACCTAAAGTCATGAGAGGAATGTATTCCTTTTATTGTGTTCGCGTATAATAGATCTGTGCATTCTTCTACAAAGTTTTCACCTTTTGAGATTGTTTATGGTTTTAATCCGCTAACTCCTTTGGATTTGTTGCCTTTATCTGTTAATGAGATTTCTAGTCTAGATGGGAACCGTAAGGCTGAGTTAGTGAAGAAAATCCATGAAGAAGCACGCGAACACATTGTGAAAAGGAATGACCAAGTTGCGAACCGAGCTAATAAGGGGCGAAAGCACCTTACTTTTCAGCAAGGAGATTAGGTTTGGGTTCATTTTCGAAAGGAAAGGTTTTCCAATCAGCGGAGTTCAAAACTTAAGCCACGAGGAGATGGACCTTTCCAAGTGCTGGAAAAGATTAACGATAATGCCTATAAGATCGACCTTGCAAGTGAGTATCAAGTTAGTTCGACATTTAATGTTTCTGACCTATCTCCATTTGATGTAGGTTCAGATTCGAGGACGAATCATTTTCAAGATGGGGAGGATGATACGATCCATCCAATTACGCGGGGTAGTGTCGAGCTGGATGAAGGAGTTGATGACTTGGACGAGCTGCATGTGCCAAGAGGACCGATTACCCGAGCTCGGGCCAAGCGCATTGAAGCAGCCATGCTTAACTTAGTTGAACACGAGCTCCAAAAGGAAGAATTGACGAAGTCTAGTTCGATCCTAGCTGAGCTTAATTGGAGCGAATTATCGGGCCAGATTGTGAAGCAAGCCGAGCTCAAGGACTTGAGCCCGTCTAGTCATCCAGCCGAAGAAGACGTGACTTGGAAATGATGATTATTATTAATTTTCGTATTTTTTTATTGGAAAATTTATTTCTTGTTATTTAGAGTCCGAATTGGACTATATTTAGTTTATTTCGTTATTTCCTTATAATAGATAAGTTAGGATTTATTTTCCTTGTTGGATTAGGTCTCTTTGACACTTATAAATAGGTTGTTTTAGGTCATTATTATTTGGACGTTTTTAAGTATTATTTTGAGAGATTAAAATTCTTCTTCGTTGTTCTTCAACAACTCTTCGGGATATTTTGCGAGTGGATTCTTGTGAATTATTCTTAGCAATATAGTATTGGTTTCTGATTCATTATAATCACGGGGTCAATACTTCCACCTTGATAATATAGCTCTCTATAGCTACGGTGTCAATATTCCGAAGTCCGCCAATCGAATCCTTTATTTTTTGGACGTTCCGTTCTTGCTTCCGCATAAGATTATTGGGTCCCGTAATAAGTTCTACGGGGTTCGTATCAGCCGGTGTTAGCCCCAAAAACCGTTGTACTAAAGTGGTTATCTCATTTCCAAATTACTCCGCACATGCCTAATTCATCTTCTTCATGTTTTTTCCGGAAGAAATTTGGGACGCACTGGCGGTTCCACGAAGAAAAAATTGAGGGGAAAAAATTATGGATTTTAGAATTTTTTAAATTGTATTTAGGCCCCAGAATTTTAGATAAATATTTTGTTTGAAGTTTGTAATTTTAATATTACAATACTAGATATTAATATAGTATTATTATTGTGTTATACAGTAATAATATTGTGTTAATCGGAAAAAAAAAGTCACATGAAAAATTTCAAAAAAATCAAGAAAAATGAAAAATTCAACACTGTTAACCGAGAATACAATGTCGGTGAACCCGCGTCAAAAACAGTATTAAAAAAATTGATTGCCGAAAAAAAAAGTCACAAAAAAAATCAACGGCGGTCAAATGTCAACGGTAATGGTGGTAAAAATCGTGGTCGTTTGTCAAAATTGATTAAATGATGAAATTGGAGTTAAATTATGGTTGAATAAATTTTTAGGGGTTTTTAAAATATTTTAAAAGAATGCAGGGGTCTGAGTGCAATTTTCTCAATGAAAAATCCCAAATTCAGCCCTAATTTACAGTTGATCGTTAATTCTTGACGGTCAAAAAGACGGATGGACTAAATGTGTTAAAATCTGACAACATTAGTGTGTATTTTATTGACGGCGGTAAATGGGGGAACAAAAGTGAAAAACGTGCAAACTTGGGGGACCAAAACTGTAACTATCCCAATTTGCTCAAATTACTTAGTTGACATTCAATTGATACATGTGTATTAGTCAATATCATAGTTGACATTTGTTATTTTAGTATCAATTTAAATTGTTTCCTATTTAGTATTTGTATACACATTTAAACATTACAATATATATATATATATATATATATATATATATATATATATATATATATATTCTTCATGAATTTTATATTTTAAAAAATCAAAAAATATTATCATGTGTATGAATTATTTTATAATTTGTCTTCCTATTCAACTGTTTGTCATAATTATTTTGTGTATCAATTAAGTTTTTTAAGAAAAAATATTTGACCAACTTTCCTAAATTTTTAGTATTTAATTTATTTTATTTATATTAGCATATTCAATACGATGTTCTTTTAATTATTATTTTATTGATTTATTTTAATTGTATAGAATAAATATTTTGTGGAAAAAAGAATTCTAAGCTATTAATCTATATCTTATCTTATTAACAAAAGAAAGGTTCTGGAGAAACCCTAGAAAACCCTAAGGTCAATTTTTCCCGCTCATTTGGAGGATATGTTATAATGGAATTAAATTTAATTTTCTAATCCATTTTTTTTTCATATTATTAAATTTCGTATAATCTAATAATTAAACACCTAATTAAATATTAATTTCTACTAATTCTTTAACTAATCTCCTAAATATTGGCATAATTCTAAATTAAGTTTCCGTATAATCTAATAATTAAACACATAATTAAATATTAATTTCTACTAATCCTTTAACTAATCTCCTAAATATTTAATTTTCTAATCCAATTTTTTTCATATTATTAAATTTCGTATAATCTATTAATTAAACACGTAATTAAATATTAATTTCTACTAATTCTTTAACTAATCTCCTAAATATTGGCATAATTCTAAATTAATTTTCCCTATAATCTAATAACTAAACACGTAGTTAAATAGCACAAGTCTAAATTAGTTTTGTAATACTATTTTTTCATATTTTATTAAATTTCGTATAATCTAATATTTAAACACCTAATTAAATATTAGTTTCTACCGATCCTTTAACTAATCTCCTAAATATTGGCATAATTCTAAATTAATTTTCTAATACTATTTTTTCATATTTTATTAAATTTCATATAATCTGATATTTAAACAAGCTAATCATTTAACTAATCTCCTAAATATTGGCATAAGTCTAAATTAATTTTCTAATACTATTTTTTCATATTTTATTAAATTTCATATAATTTGATATTTAAACACGTAATTAAATATTAATTTCTACTATTCCTTCAACTAATCTCCTAAATATTGGCATAAATCCACACCTTTTCAATGACACGGTTCCTCTATTTTTTTTATCACACGTTTCCCCAAAGACTTATCGGGAACAATAATATAATATATATGTATATCTTAATAGATCCGTGGATATCTTTTAGGTTTTCCCAACACACTCTTTATAAGCACTCTTTATAAGTATATTTCTCTCTGTATCTCTCTCCATCTCTCCCTGTATTTGCTGCTCCAACACCTCAGGTAAAAAAAACCATGTTCTTTTTAACGTTCCCTTGCTTTGGTCCCTGTTATTTAATCTGTTTTCACTTGCTTCGGTCTCAGTTCGTTTGCCCAATTTCACCCAAATCTTAAATATCCTGATTTTTGTTTCATTGAAGGATTGAAGGATTGAAGGATTTTTATTCATTGAAGCAGTTATGACTCCACGAAATTCAACTACACAGGTTTCATTGCTTCATGAAATTGATACAAGCACTATTAATTGGAAGATAATTGTACGGGTAATTCGTCTATGGTTAGCGCCAGATAGGTGGAGAAAAACAGAAACGGGTAGCATTCAAATGGTTTTTTTGGATGAGAAGGTGATGTTTTTATTTTTCCGGATTCTTTTCTATTTATTTATTTTTATTTTTGTTTTATATTCCCAATATTTAGGAGCTTACTATTTTATTGATTTTGTAACAGGGTATGCGTATTCATGCTACCATAAAAAAAAAATCTCATTATGAAATTTAAGGAATTGGTGAAAGAAGGCGAAACTTATATGTTTCAAAATTTCTTGGTGGGTGATTCAAATTTACCATTTAGAGTATCTACGTACAAATTTAAGCTCAATTTTTTCGGAATGAGTGTAGTTACTAATTTAGTAGCCGAATATATTCCGACAACCAACTTCAAGTTCGTTTCTTTCGACACAATAAAGAAGAATGTGGATGAATATTTACTATTTGGTACGCAATTGTTTCACATAACTTAGTTTGGTAAATGTTTGTTCTGTCTTACCGTTAATCACTAATATATTTGTGTCGTCTGTATCACAAGGGTTATGTAGAAATCCTCAGTAATCAAAATAATGTTGCAATTTGATTCAGTATATAACTCTGGTACATTTGATTTAATTTATTTATTTGTACAGATGTAATTGGCCATGTGGTAGAGAAGGGGCATATAAAGGAGATCACTACAAAAGGAGAGAAAAGCAAACTTTTGGATGTTATTCTGCAAGATTTAGAGTAATTTAAATATTATATTTTGTTTTTTACAATTTTTATATGGATTTATTCTTATAATATTTTTAGTAATTTATTTTACATTACAGGAAAAATACAATTAAATGTACTTTATGGGAAGCATTTGCTGAACAAATTGATGCATATGTAACGAATGCTGACCAAAATGGACCTACTGTGGTCATACTTCAGTGTTTCAGTGCTAAAACTTATTGTGGTGCGTGTTAATATTTACATACCCTAATATTGATGCATATTTAGGAATTTGTTAAAATATTGATGCATAATTTTGTATATTATTTCACCTAAAATCATACTTAGGAAGCACGACTTTGTCAAATGTTCGACATGGATCACAACTACTGATCAAACCGAATTTGAAAGAAGTTTTAGACTACAGGTATATGTACTACCATTTGATCATTCAACTTTTAATATATATATATAACCTTGAGTATAATCATTCGTTATATATTTTAATACCTGTAAATTTTACAGGCTTGCATTGAGCGAAGAAGTCTATGTCCCATCAGTTAGTCAATTATCGTCCCAACTTTCTTTGCCTCGATCGTACGATCCACTCTAGGCAGATGGAATGACCATAGATGAGTGCGTTGAGAGTACAAAGGTACGTTTATTTGTCGAACATATATCTGATATATTTTTAATTAAACAAATATAATGCTTAAGAATCGATTGTTGTATATATAGTGTAGGTATGTGTTGGATCCGTACTGGCGAAAATTCTGGAAATCGAGTCGGCAGCTAATTGGTGGTATGCTTCATGTAAAAATTGTGTGAGGAAGGTCGAACCTGTCTCAAAGAAATATTGGTGCGAAGAGTGTGACGGGTTTGTTTCTGCTGTACCAAGGTAATTATACTTTGATTTGGTAATATTTTACGAAAACCATCATTCCTCTTGGTATTTGAAATTTGTATATAAAATATATATTTTTGTACATGTTCAGAGTTCAAGTGAGTGCCATTGATAGTACTGGATCGAATTCATTCGTAATGTTTGATCGTATTGTCATGCAATTAATTGGAAAAAGTGCTTCAGAACTCCTAGGTGGTGCATCAAACAAGGTATTGTTGATGTAATAAGTTATGTACATTTAATTTAAATCCACATTAGGCTAATAACCATTTTATTTTTTTGTAGGGAAACCATAATTACGGATGTCCTGCGGAAATTAATGCTTTGATTGATAAGGAAATTCTATTCCAAATAGAAATCAGTTCCCGAAATATTAAGTATTGGGGATGGCACCATAGGTGATCCCAATGACGGGGTGGTCAGCATTGAAATCCCTGATGACTTACTCATAAAAGAGTAAGCTGATCCACTTGCTTCAATTGTAAATGAGACATACCCATCATTTTTAGAGAATATGGATGATATCAGTTATTTGCAACACAGGGCCATACTGCCATACTGGCTCCGACAAATGAGATTGTTGACGTGGTAAACGATTACATGCTATCGTTGGTTCCTAAGGAAATGAAGACATATCTCAGTTTTGATAGTACATGTTCAGCAAACGGAAGCATTGACAGACCTGATGATATTTATACGCCCGAGTTTTTGAATACCGTTAATTCTTGTGGTCTTCCAAATCACGAATTAAAACTAAAAGAAGGTGTTCCGGTAATGTTGTTGAGAAATATAGACCAATCTTCAGGTTTGTGCAATGGCACCCGACTGTCAATTACAAGATTAGGAAATCGAGTCGTGGAAGCGAAAATTATATCAGAAACCAACATTGGTCATAAGGTGTTTATTCCACGATTGACTCTAACGCCATCCGATAACAGGATACCTTTTAAATTCCAGCGTCGACATTTCCTATCACTCTTTCGTTTGCAATGACGGTAAATAAAAGTCAAGGCCAATCTCTTCAACACGTGGGTATATATCTTCAGAAACCAGTGTTTGCACATGGACAATTATATGTTGCTATCTCAAGAGTTACGAGTCGAAGAGGCTTGAAGATACTTATTTGTAACAACGACGGGAACACCTCAAATACTACTACAAACGTCGTTGATAAAGAAGTTTTCCAAAATCTGAACTAAGTAAGTTATTTATATATTTGGTTAAATTAATATATGGATTTTTTGTCCTCAAAGTTTTATAAATGAGCTTTGTAACATTTATTTTCAATTTATAAAAAAGTTCTTTTTTCTTTCATTTTGTCCTACGGTGCAGGTGACATAGGCTCAAGAGTTGAAAACAACTACTCTGTTGGTGGCCGGATTAATTCTTTGGTGGATAGAGTTTTATTAGATTTTCCAGTAAAATATTCAATATATAGTTTTTATTAGATTTCTGAGTTAAATATTCAATACATTTTTATTTCTGTTTTTTTTAATGATTGTTATGTTTGTTTGTTCAATCCCGTGCATCGCACGGGTCAAGTTACTAGTATATAAAACACAGAAACATTACTCAATAACCCTAACGGCATTTTTGTAACTGTTATTATTTTTAATTATAAAAAGTTCAAAATTAAAACCAAACCGTGTAGAATCTATTTAACACCAATCACTTTATTTGAACTGCTAATTATATTTATATGTTTTCTTTCTCTCTAAATTTTTAGTTTGATAATTGCTTCTTTTTTTTAACGATCAAAATTTATTTTATCACAACTAATTATTTTGTATAACCTTTTGAGGAATGTGTTTGTATTATCATATTTGTATGACTATTGTAATAAAAGTGTAAAGTATATTTCTTATTATACTTGTTATTATCATGTATTTAAGTGATCTTTGTTTTCTGAACTATTAAAATGCAATTTCGTGTATCGCACGAGAATAATTACTAGTAACATATAAAACAAACATTTTTAATTAGGGATTATTAGTGAAAACCCCCCAACACATTTAGTTATATCAGGATGGATATAAGATCATTTTGCATATTAGTGAAAACCCCCTCATTATATATTTTAATTTACCATAAATTCGAATTTTAGGGATATCTCTATATTACCCTTAATTATCATTAAATCCTATTTTTTCCCTCACTTTTCTTCACCAGCCGCATCTCTCTCTTTTTCTCTCCCTCGCCACAGATCTGCACCTCCGCCACGCAGCCTCTCCCCCACCCTCGCCTCACGATCTTATATATTTTTTTTCATCCCTCTTCTTCTCTCCCAATATCCTTTTTATGTGCGAATCCCATGGTCAAGGGCAATTATGAAGAAGACGACGAAGCTTCTTCTCCAATCCATTTCTCCGCCGTTTTTTGGGAACAACTTCCAGCGTCACATGACTCTGATCCGACGTCGACGACCTCTTAGCCTTCATGACGGTGTAACACCGGTGACGACGAGATCCAGATCGAAGCAAGCGAGATTATTTAGGTTTGTCTGTCAAATTCTGTCATTATTTAATTATTTTTATTTTGCAACTGATTGATTTTTTAGATTAATTGTTGTGATGTTGTTATCTTGATTCAATTGTCAAATTACAATATGATTCGATTTCTATCATGTCTTATTTGTTGAATAATTTTGTGATTTGAGTCTGGCGTTTGTTTAAATAGAAAATCAGCAATTTGTTGATGTTATTACATATTTTGGATATTATTGTGTGTTCTGATTTGAATTTTTATTGAATTGTTTTGTGTTTGTCTTTATGTATGAAATAGTTGCGGACATCGTGATTATTTTATGCATAGCACATTCGAAATCTACGAAGATCTGTGGAAGAAAACTCATATGATCGGAGTTGTATCTTGGCCCTATCTCTGGAAGAAAACTCATATCTCAGACATGGCAAAGTAGAAGAAAATTGGAGTTGTTTATTTTGTAGTCGATTTTGTAAATTTGTAGTTGTTTTCGATTTTTGTAGTTGTTTTTAACAATTTGTAGTTTTTTTTGATAAATTTTAGTTGATTTCATTAAACAACTAGATTTTATTGTTGTTTTCGATATTTTATAGGTGATTTCAATTTTTTTTATAGTTGATCTTATTTGGTAAACTTGTCATTGAAAACAACTATTTTTTGTGGTTGTTTTAGAGTTTTCTTAAAGTTGATTAGGAGAAAAAGCGAGAAAAAAAATAGTTGTTTTCGGTAAATTTATAGTTGATTATGAACAAAATAGTCAAAAAGAAAAACAAAATTTTAGTTGTTTAAGAAATATTGTAGTTGTTATCGAAAATTTTATAGTTGTTTTCGGAATTTTATAGTTGTTTTCGAAAATATTATAATTGATTTGCAAACCCAACAGCAACAAAAAAAAAAAAAAAAAAAAAAAAAAAAAAAAAAAAGATTAATTTTGTAAATAAATATTTTTTTAAAAAAATAAATAAAAAGATAAACGAAAAATATAATTAAAAAAAATTAAGAAGTCATTAAAGTAGTTGTAGTGAATAGTAGGAGGGTAAATTTGGAATAAGAGAAAAACTGGACCTATCACTAATAAGGAAAAAGGGGCTGGATCCATCCTTATTAAAAAAATGCTATAGGGGGGTTTCACTAATTGTCCCTTTTAATTAAGACAAATATAAAATTGACTGACAAGTACGGTTTCTTTCGTTAGATTAGACATATAAGGATAACACACAAATTATTTAAAATTTATTTAACTAGTAGTTCACCCGCGATGCATGGAGCCAACTTCAAAATTAAAAATACGTTTAAGATAAAATGTTCGAACAAAAACTTTAAATAATTAATATATAATACGATATGATTCAAAAAAATTAAAAATAATATCCATTCAAAACCATACTTATTCACTTTGATTTAACTACCAAATTAACAAAATAAATGATTAAAAAAATAATACAACTATGATATAAAAAATAAGATGCCTCGTCGTTCCCAAACGGTATGATTATCTTCTCTAATGCACTCGGATCATTAACACAAACTTAGTTATCAATGTTGTGTTTTATAGCACATGCATTGGCATCACATATAACTCATCTATCAAATTTAAAATTGTTAATATGCAATCAGTAATGCACACTATTAAAACATAAGTTACCTGAAAGTGTAATGAATATATAAAATTTACATTAAATTATCTTCATAAAAAAATAATACAATGGAGTCAACAGTCAGATAATTACCCTAAAATATAAATAAACATAGCACTGCAACATAATTGTACATATAAATAATGAAAAAAAAAATGTGCTGTTCAATCACAATATACAACTTTTGTGATGTACTTGCACTCGAATTCGCTGAATAACTAATACTACAACTAATATATTAATGTTAAAATTAATATACTAATGTTAATATTCCCTGTACACCTTATCGAGTACTCATGTTCCCAAAGAGGTTTCCCGAAGGCTCGAGCAACTTTTCTCGTCTTTCTTATGGAGCGCTAAAGGCGGTTCTCGGTTTCCCTGGGTTCGGTGGCAATCCATTTGTTCGCCTCCTAACGAGGGTGGGCTCGGAATTTGGAGTTTGGCGCAAGTTCAGAGTTGCCTTCACGCTAAGTTAATGTGGATGGTTGATACGCGTAAAACCTACGTATAAATAACCGCAAGTGTACAGTATCGCGTTTTGCAGAATAGTGAATTCCGGATATCGATCCACAGGGAATTAAGTTCCTAAAT